CCACAAAAAATAAAATAGTTGCTGTTATCATTGTTTTTGATCTGTTATCTTGTATTCTAATAAATAAGCTTGTATGACACCAATATTTTAGATACTAATTAAATTTAGCAATTTTCTATTTCAATTTCGATACCACAGCAAAAATCAGTAGCCAAAAATAAACAAATATAAAGTTTAAACATTATTAAAGACAAGTGACAGCCAGTAAATAAGAACAAATGAACATATTACAAGTAATAGCACAATTAAATATAGGCCTATAGCAGAGAAATAGAAATGAAATTGTGCTTTAGGTTTTTATGTTTGTAGATGTTCAGGTACAGAAATTGAAAAATCACAAAATAACATTTGCATATTCTTCACTCTGTGTTGCACCTTGATTTTTCATAGCCATTTGAAATTAGAGGCAACCACTGCATTTTAATCATGAATTGAAAAAAAAGTGCAATGTTTGATTGATATTAGACTGTATAATTTCAAAATCTGAAGCAAAAACAGAATGACCTGACTTTAGCTTTGTGAAATTATGCTACATAAAACATCTGTATGAAACAGAAACAGCAGGTGGGCTGAATGAGACGCAGATTCACTCTCTGACAGCAGGCGGCGCTTATGGTACAGTAATACAGCGTTTCCTTGTTTAACGCTGTAAACACAGCAGTGCTGCGCGTATTAACACTAATTTAAATGCAGAGACAAAATGAAAAGAAAACGCCATTTCTGAAAACAGTCAATTCCGTTCCCTAGAAACACATTCATATAAAATTCAACATTTGGATTTTCTTCCTATATTTTGCGCAGTGAACAGTGATCTTGTTCTGCCTGCTACAGTATTTTCTCCTCTTTGTGTCCGTCTTCAGCATTTCTGGCCTCTGTTAATGGCCGTATAGTATAATAATTAAGTATAATAATAACATAATATTTCCACACAAATGGCCATTTGGAAAATGATTGCAGTGCAGTTTGTGCAAGCACGGAACAGAAGATAGTCTGAAATAAAACAAAAAATGTCCGGTAGATCGGTGCATTTGTATAAATTCAATATAGATTAATCATTGTTAAAGCTACAAAGTTACTTGCCAGGATGGGTATTTTGACATACTTTTGTATGTATTTGCCTGTTCAGGCAGCTCGTGCGTGTCAGACGCGGCTGTCTGTGCGCGCACTGTTCACACAGAACACAGCGCACGAATAATAAAAGGAGTTGTCTTTCGCACCCACATGCTTTTTAATTGCTTACATTTTTAAATTAACAAGTCTTAAAAACATATGCAAATTACAAAAAGTCGTGACGACGCTACAGTGGCCCGTTCGGGCAAGTGACAAATCCATCTACTGTCCCGAACGTCTTTCACGCTGGCCCCGGTCCATCGTGCAGTCCTTATTGTCGCGCCCTGTATAGTAAATGAAATTTTTATGACTGGATTCCACGATTCTGCCAGTGTTTTACACATTGCGGAAATCACAGGGCCCTAAAAATATTTCACGGATCCCACTGAATTTCAGTACGAGATTGCAGGTATTGCGAGTAATTTTACACTGCGATACAAGACTGTGACGCCTACTGACATACAAGTCTTTCACGTTTCAATGAATCAACAAAGTAGTATATCTGCACTTTGCTTCCCCAATCCCCCACAAATAAAAATGAAAAATCTTAAATGTAAAGGCCATACCCTGTCAGCACAGGTGCAACACCTCCACGGGCATGCAGGAGCATCACCTGAAGCTCTTGCACCTGTGTTAAATAAAAAATGTTTAAAAAAGCAGAAATTAAATCACCCAAAATATTAACTCAGCATTCTACTTGATTTTAAGTAACCAGTCATGTAACAGTTATTTGAAAAGCACCCAAGAGCCCCAAAACACCAAATAGACTTCGTACCTGCTGTCTGAGTCGCTTCATTTCTACTGCACGTGGATCGACATTGAGAATTGGCTTATTCTTAATTTTACGGGCACGGTCAGCATAGCGCAACGTGTTGATAGTCTCCTCAATGTTGGAGTCTGCTGGACTTACACACGCAATCATCAAGGTATGGCTGTTTCCTCCGAGAGAGTCTGCAAAAACGGTTTGTAAAGAATTTCATGACCAAAAAAAAAGAAAGAGACAAAAAAAGAAAGAAAAACCACCTTGTCATGAAGAAAAACTAACTAAACTAGAAAAGAAAGTTTGTCAATTTCACCATTGCTGCTGAACTGAAAACAAACAACACATTCCTACTCCAACCTTCAGCATTTTACGCTGCACAATGTTTCAAAGCAGCTTTACAGGAAAAATATTGCAGCAACATGATTTAAAAGTGTTGGCCTGACAAAGCCTTGTCTGAAAGATCAAAATAGTTTGAATAGTTTGAAGTTTATTCTTTAAAGGCTCTCACTTACTATGTGGTGTACTGAAAATAAAGTGATTTGATAGAAAAATGACTTCATGGACTGAATGAATCTTACCCTGTAAGAGGCGTGTCAGTTTGGAATCCCTGTATGGCACAAAGGATCCCTTCTTGCTTTCATCACCAAGTGCACTGATCACATTCCCCAGAGAAAGCAGTCCACGGTTAATGCTGATTCCTGTGGCACAAATCAAGTCATCAAGTCAGGTGCTTAAGGAAAAAAATAAAATTATGGTATTTCCAAACCCATGACTTTGCTTAAAGAACACAAATGTAGACACTGGAGAATATCCTGGCCACACTTTAATATGATCGACCGATTGGTCTGTTTTGCCGATTTATCGGCACCGATAGTTGATTGGTGGACTTATTGGCAAAAATCCATATAATCCATATAAAAGTCCATAATAGTTTTTCCAGGTTGTGTCCGTTGCTGGAGTGGCTGAGATGGTCCGCTGTCACTTGTACAATACGAGAGCGGCATCTTGAGGCGGAATCACTGACACCACGTGCTGTTTGTTTTGACACACGAGGCTGCACGCTGCACAGAGCGGGACACTTCAAATGCGGATTTAAAACATTACATGTTTTCATATTATTATAAAGTAATTAATTTGTTGACAAGATGCTGCATTAGTAGTGAAAGAATAGAAGTATGTTTGCCATCAAGGCTGAAATGATGCAGACATTAGTAGCACTTCAAACAGTGTGACCAAAAGACACTCAAGTCCGACCCAAATGTTTGATGTCACGATTGTTACCACCTATTCGCATTTGTTTATATCCAACTGGTCACTTTTATGCATTTGTTATCCATCGAAGATGCATATTTAAAGCTAGTGACGTGAGAAAGCACATTGATATGTTCATGCAACCGACAGAAATCCTGCCACTCACATAGTTTTCCATTAAATTACATTATATTTGTCCCAGATCTTTGTTCATGTGTATAATTCACCCAAGGCTGGAAAACTGTGTGTTATGCATTCAGCGAAACGTTTGTCTTTCTGTGGCTCTAATAAAGTCTGTATTCTTCAAATATACTTCAAGTATACTTTCTCTTTCAGTTTTGGTTCAAACTTCAAATACATCGACGCCACCTTTGTCTGTTTGTTGATTAAATAAACTGTTCTGGACTGCCGCTTGAACACGATGCATCCGTTGTGTGATACCTGCAAGTTATAGACGCAACGTTTTGCTGAACTTTTTGTCCGGTGTGCTTTTTGTTATTTTGACTGGATGATCATCAAGTGTTCCAAAATAAAAGCAAATAAAGTGTGAGATTATACATACAATATACCTATGTAATTTCAGTGCTATGGCCTTTGTGTAGATGTTTAAACATGGCCATTTTTAAGCATAAGTCTTTGGATTTATATGATAACGCTTTACAATTTGTTAGATTCCATTTGTAACATTAAGGTTAATATAAGCTGTAGAAGTATTGTTCCTTGTGTAGAGTGTTAATTTCAATACCAATACATTTTTTAATTTGAAAGTTGCACCTGTTAACATTAGTTAATAAACTATGAACTTACATTAATGATGAATTTATAATTAATATTTCACATTAATATTTTTATTCCATTTAAAAAGCATGGTTCAGTATTTTATTTTTTTTGGAATAACAGTTGATTAATTGGTTATCGTCCAAGTGTGGTCCAACCCAGCTATCGGTATCGGTAAAATCCATTATCGGTCAACCTCTAAAGCAAATTAATGGGTTGTTAAGCTAAAAACGTAAATAAATAATTTTCAAAAATACCCTTCAAAACACTTAAAGGGGTCATATGATGCTGCTAAAAAGAACATTATTTTGTGTATTTGGTGTAATGAAATGTGTTTATGCGGTTTAAAGTTAAAAAAACACATTTTCCACATACTGTACATTATTGTTTCTCCTCTATGCCCCGCTTTTTTGAAACGCGGCGATTTTTACAAAGCTCATCGGTCTGAAAAGCAAGGTGTGCTGTGATTGGCCAGCTATCCAGTGCGTTGTGATTGGCCGAATACCTCAAGTGTGTGACGGAAATGTTACACCCCTCACCATACTGTTGATGCCGTGTCCAGCCGGAGCGACGAGACAAAAACATTAAAACCTATTTCAAATGATGCATTTGTTTCATCCTGTGGGGACATAATTACTGATTATAATGACTTATACTGTCTTTTTACGCGTTGCATCGCGCCGCGTAAACATAAAACCCTGTCTGCATTTGTGATCGGAGAAATTACAAACAACAAGTGCTATTCTACACTGCCCAAAACTCGCGTTTGAATCATCAGTGGCAAATCCTTTAAAT